GTTGACAAACGGCAAATAACATCAACGTCTGTGTTCAAAACCAGACTGTGAAGGGACCGGTTTACTGAATGTGACTGTAACTGTAGCAGTGCACACTGTGATTTATATGTACATGTGTGTGTAATTGATTGTGATGTAATGTAACGTCATTGTGAATTTTTTTCTCTGTGATATACTGTATTTTTAAATGTACCTTGGCTTGAGTTCCCAGGAATAACTGAAAAGCAGATCGGTAGATCTGAGTTATATCCTGGTTAAATAAATAAACTTGAAACTTGAACTTGAAGGCCAGGAGTTGGTCCACTAGAGAGTACAGTCGGGCGCGACAAACTGTTCTCTCTAGCGGATCAACTCCCTCGCTATATCTCTCTATTTAGCCAATTTCTACTCTTTCAGCCGCCTCTCGAAGCCCGGTAAAGGCCAGTTATAACGTACCCTTCAGGCTGTTCGGGGTAGTTGGCGGCTCGCGGGAAGCGTTGGCCTCCCCGCCCCCGGTTCGCTCCCAGGTCTTCCCGGTCCCACCCGACTGTCCTGCAAGGAACTTAAGAAGCGGCAAAACCTCCTTCGGGACGGTCAGGATTTCCTCTGCCCGGCTCGGCTGTCGGGCGGCCTGGCTGCTGGGCTGGTAACCTGCTGCTCGGTCAGAAAAGGAAAGGAGAAGCCATCACTGATCAGAGGTAGCCGACCAATTGGAACACGATTGGACCAAGAACACGAGATCACAATCCGACGGAAGAGAGCTGAGAATGAGAAACAACAACAGAGTACAGTTTTACTCAAAATTGGAGTTTTATCAAGAAAGGAGTTCGAACCTGCGGGCCTGAAAATGCCCGAATCACGTCCTTTTACAAAAATGCAACATATTACAATAGCAGGACATGAAAACCTACACTTCATCAGGCAACTTCTGATGCAACAGGCAGCGAAAAACCGTGAAAAGCCGCACCTGTGATGTAAATGAATCACCTGTGATGTAGATGACTCATCTGTGATGTAGATGACTCACCTGTGATGTAGATGACTCACCTGTGATGTAGATGACTCACCTGTGATGTAGATGACTCACCTGTGATGTAGATGACCAGGGCCAGGTTGACCAGGTACATCAGACCCAGGGTGATCAAAAGTGTCCGGAAGCCTTTTCCCAGGGCTGGCATGACCATATATGGGGGAAGACAACGTCACGTGTTACCATGGAAACCCATCTGTAGTCAACTTGATGATGACGTCATTAACAGACGATCGAACAAATCCGGCTCAGTAGACGATAGTGGATCTAAAACATTTTACCCCTACGCAAGGAGGCTTTTAGTCTCCACCAGACTCATTTACAGGCTGAATAAATAATAGAAATCGGTGTAAAAGAATGTAGCTGGCCAGGGGAGTTGGTCGGTCACGGAGGGTTCAGTTTGTCTGTATATAACTGCATAGAACTTCTGCCCAACTCCGCTGGTATGCTCTTTTTCTTGTTTGCTTTTTTTAGCCATCAGTAGAAAAAAAGTAAAGTCAAGTGTCAATATTCCTAAATGGAATGATTGGCCAAACATCCGTGAGTTTAAGCGTTTCAACGTCAGCTAGAAAGTAAAAACTTAAGTTATGTCTGAAAAAAGTACTGTTAGTTTTGTCGAGAACCAGACTAATCATAAAGTTTTCTGCTGACATCTCCCACGCGTTATGTCTGTGTTGTTTGTCTGATTTCCAAAGGTTAAGATTATATATAAACACAAAACCGATGTTTGTACATCTGAGAATGAGACAAATCACGAGCCTCCCCCGCGCAGTTAACGACTCGTCTGTCAAACGACGCCGGAAAAACGCGCGGCGGGCAGCAGACCAATCTGGTTTGTGCCTCCAGGCGTACGGCACAAGTTTTGTACTGTAAGTTCAAGCTGTGTAAGACGGTCTGACCGGACTGTAAAGTTTGTTAAGGTGGCACCAGGAAGGACCTTTGCTCTTTTCGATGTGTGATGGCGTGGTCCTACAACACGGGACGCAGGCTTCACGTCCCTAACCGAATATTTTTTTCATCATTTTATTTTGAACTTTAAATAATAAAACAACATGGCAGGAGTAACTCCTGAATTGTGTTGTAAACGAACACGTACAGCAAACTAAAATTCAGCATCACCAGACTAACAATAAAATACGATAGGTCATTCTTAAAAAGCATTTTAGCAGGCGCTTTGATTTTTTGCCTGATAGTCGTTATACTTTTTTCTCTCCAAAGTATATCATACTAACCCACGACAAAAATACGACAAACAAGTAGATATGGATGGAGACAAATTACCCGTCATGCGTTGGTACAGGCGTTTGAGAATCCCAGAATCCCCAGCGGCAAGAACATCCGCTTCAACCGGAGGCTGCTCAGAACCTGCAACATTTGCAACATTGTGACAACCAGTCAATTAAACAACAAACTGCAACATTTACAACCAATCAATAAAACATCAAACATAGTTGTAATAATAAAAACGAAACATGGCGTACATTGCGGGCGTCTCAGGTTTTCTCCCTTCGAACACGTCGTCATAGACATTGCAGGGCATATTTGTGATAATAAAGACGTTAACATAACGTACATTGCAGGTACCCGTTTGGACTATGTCGATATGTTGTCACAATAAATACATAATTGTCTATAATGTTCATATCAAGTATTTACAATGATTAAAGTAATAATTAATTAATGCAGAGTCTTTACCAGCAAATTCTAATAACAGCGGGCCAAGGCAAAGAGTGGCTAGGCAGCGGCTGTAGTGTTATGCAGAAGTTGTCGTAACGTTTGGCTTTGGGCGAGCACAATAAAGAGGCTTCGTGTATACCTTACCTTCTCCGCCTTCACGAGCGGTCTTCATCCCCTCTGAAGCATCAACTTTCAAAGTCATGTACCTCGGCTGGTCACCTGACAGGGTGGAAACGGTGCTGTTTTATCCAGCAGCATTGAGTCTTCAAGGTGAATTACATTTGT